AGAAACTGTGCCCGAGGTCTTGAGTACCGTCCGAGGGACCGCCCGAGGCCGTGGGCCGAGGGCGGTACTCAGACCGAGGTCACAGTTTCTCCCAATACGGACCGACCTACAATAGGGCGGTGAATAACATTTTTTTTTTTCCTACTGAGATTTAAAAGTTTCAGGAAAATTTCACTTCAGCCTCCAACCTATGTATGTTGAAGAAGGGCGCGTTCGTGTTGATGTTCAAAGCGCGCGATCGATTGCAAACCAAAGCAAAACATTACAACATGATTTTTGAACTTGTAATTTATATTATCATAATTAAGTCTTAATTAAGCTCTCTTTTAGAATAAAGAAAGGTTTTTGTGTCTTGGTAGATAATTCATAATCTGAGTGTCAAACAAGGATAAAAGAATTGACGAACTTAGGAGCCACAGGAAAGAAAATACAGCAAAGATTTTCGTCGGCTGAATATTTACTTTAAGATTAAAATTCAATCGAGCGGGATAAAAACTGCACAAAAGCTTTATAAAAAGAGCTCATTAAAAATACCAATCTTAGGGTTTTGAATTGAATTCGAATAAAAGAAGACGATGTGGGTAACTAAACAAGTATATAAACAAAGAAATGAAAACGGCGATAACCGACTGCTGGAAAAGTTGTTCGTGTTGTTTATTCAAAATTGAAAGCTAAATGCAATCGTTGACAACAACCTTTTCTGAAAAGTAGAAAACAAGCGAGGCAAAATTCGATGAAAAACGGGAGAATCTACATTCAGACAGCGAAAATGGAAAACAAACTTATAACGGAGCAAAAATGTCGAGTAAACGGTGCATAAAGGCAAGATTGCAGTACTTACAGCGTAGTTTTTAAGCTAGTGAAGCGACATCACAAGCCACCTGTTTTGCTTTACTTTAGCGGTTTTCCTACCCTGCTAGCAGAGTCGCTTCGACCTTTCCTAGATAAGTCGGGAAAGAGGAAGCGACTCTGCCGACATCTTCAAGTTCCTTTGATCTGCCGATCATGCAGCTTTTTGGATGAGTCAGACAAGTTTTATACTGGATAAACCAGTTTTATCTGTGCACGCACGCATATTCTGGAATTTTGCTGACTCTTTCTGCACCCACGCTCCATAGGAAAAGAAATAGCTGCAGCTTCAATTTCATGCGGGAATTTTGAGAAAATTATAGATTGAACGTTCAGTTTTAGAAAATTGGAAAATGTACCCAGATTCGAGATGGATTTTGTTTTGGATTTAACCATGTACTTAGCCGATTTTACTTGCGTGAACGGATCCACAATCCAGTAAGTGTTAATATTTAAGAAACAATATCTATCCTTATTCTTCTGTGTTTGCTATAACATTAATTCAAAATAAGATCATGAGGCTACAGAATCCATGTTGCATTTAAATGACCGATGCTTTTACAGCTGTTTGTGGATAACACCCGACTTGCGATGCCAAAAACGTCTTTAGATTTCGTATTTTTTTACGACGTCAATCAAAATCTGGAGAAGCGGCGCTTTCTTCGCTTTCTCGCCTTTTATACATCTTAGCGAACCTCTTAGGAAACAAAAGTTCGTCGTTCGTGATTTGTGATTGGTGGATTTCGATTCGTTTTGTGTGGTGTTTCTGTGTTTCAAGGTTAGATGCTTTGTTTTTGAAAAGCACCGTAAGTTTTGGGTCGTTTTACTTTAGCTATAAGATTTTTCTATCTTCTTTACACTGAAACATGGAACATGGCAAGTTTAGATTCCAAAGGTTAAATTGTTCCTATAGAGCTTCCAAAGCCAGAGGAAAAACACAGCTACGGAAGGGTGAAAACGAACCGGTACGTTCCCGCTAACATTTACATTTGCTGACAAACACAGTGGATGCTACGGTAACGGTTTGATTGACGTCGCAGAAAAATTTGAATTTGGAGCATGCTCAATATGAATTGTCGAGGATTTCGGCAGAGGTTCCTTCCTCTTCCCGACTTATCTAGGAAGATCGAAGGAGACTCTGTTCGCCGGGTACGGTTTTCCTGGCTGACTTGCTTGATTCTCCCTTCAGATTTTTTGTCTGAATAACAAAATTCACTTTTCCCTAGCTAATGCTAATAATAGCGCCAGTTTTAAAAGAAAAATGGTTAAAAATTACGGGTTTTGCTCATTCACAAACAACGAACAAACTTGTGAATGAAACTGCCAACGATTCCGACCGGGTTAGCGGGCAAGATCGTAAAAAACCGCCCGCTCTCGGAACCAATCAGATTGCAGGATTTGGAGGATTCCGCCCGCTCGCAAGCTTAAAAAAAAATAAACGGCATATANGGGGGGGGGGGGGGGGGGGAAGCGGGGTTATGGTGGCGAACTAACAGGTCTTTTTTTTTTCTGACTAATGATTTACTTCAAATTATAATTTTTTTTCCATGCAACTTTTGGGTGAGGCTTGTAATACAATTTATATTTTTATATTTGTTGTTTAATAAAGTACCGTATAAATTTAAGTAAGTACACCAGAAAAAAGCTTAAAGACACGCTAAAAGCTATAATCAACAGGAAGATTAAATGTTCTCAGTTGTTTTAAAAGTGCTCAACTCTACTTGCAGCTCATAGCTCACAGCTCACAGCTACAGGTACTTCAGCCAAAAAGGACTGAAGCAAATTTTCTAAGCTGTTTTTTTCGTCCTTTTTCTCATTGGCTGAAATCCTCGGCTAACTCTTCGTAACCAGCTAGCGTTGATCAAATTTGGATATTGTTGGCCGATCCTTTTAATAAGATTGACGTCATAGGTATTGACATGGAAAGAAAAGGGAGGCAATGGGAACAGCTGAATTGTTGGTCGTCAGAGTTGGAGAAAATGGCGGAGATTTTGCACGCTATGCGAAGACGAGATAACTGAACCACATCCTCAAAAACGTAGTAAGAATCGACAGAAATATCACTCAACCGATGACAATGCTATATCGGTAGACTGATAAACATTCCTTCTTATCCCGAAAGTGCCGCAGCCGAGAAACAGGCAAACGTTTTGAAGACGGGAAATTGAGTAGGTGAAAGTGAGTGAATTTTACGAGATCAGCCGAAGTAAAGAAATTGGTGATATTAGGAGGGACGGAACCAGAGGACGCCGGTTATGCGCATTAGAGTAGGCACTGTTGCACATATGCAGTAACAGGTAAGATGTTTCTAAAAATAAAAAGTAGTAAGGATGGGCTCTGTATTCTAATCCATATACTATGAAACCCGGGGAGGGGGTTACTCCTAGGAATTTTCGGGTCAGGGGGGTTTGACACGGTTGTCCAAATCCTGACAATATTTCAGATAAAAACATACGATTCCCCCCTTTTTTCAGCTGGGACGTCACCGTTTATTGTTCTTGAAAGGACAAATACATTTCTTACATTCCCCGATACCCTTTCGTGATCCTCTTGAAAGCTATACTTGATTTCAAGCCATAATGGGCAAATTCTATAGCCGTCGGCTCAAAACCGATACCCTTTGGGGCGATACATACCCGTACAAATGATACAAGGGATATGAAACGAGGGACGCGATATGATATGTATGTCAGCGGTTTGACCCAGGTGGCGTTTCCTCCCGACTATGCCCTAATGAATGGAAATCATGGAGCAAGATATTTTGAAGTAACATGTCAGCTTGAATAAAACCGTCCGGTGTTGGTGATTACAAATACAGTTTTTTTTATTTTGCCAACTATACAGTCAAAGTAGTGTCGAAAAGGACTTGACATATCCTTTACATTCCAAGGTGTGTGTATAAACTGACAAGAAACAGCAGGCGTGACTGCGTGAATTGACGAAGGGCGTGAAACCAAACTGGCGCTAAGCATGTGACAAACACTAATGCAAAATAGCAACATAAGAGCACGATACTTTTGTTAGTAACTAATTTATCTGATTTGTGTGTAGATTACGATTACTGCATACAGCATAATACAGTTTTCAAATATGAAGTTCCTCAAAGATAATGCGAACGGCAACTATAATAATTCGCCTTTAGTGTTAAATTAGAAATATTGTAGTGATCTAGTTACATTAGTAGCTATAATTATAAAAAAACTGTATGCAACGGAGTGCAATTAGACCAATTAGCTGTTTCTTAACACGTTTTTTTCCAGGAATGGATCCGAGAAATGATGAACTACTAGCTCACCAGTACTGTTAAACTTTAGTTCAGAATAATCAGGGCCTGTCACCGGACAAGGTTATCATGTCTGGACTTCTTGGGGAATAAACCAGTTAAAAAAGACGCTATCGTTAACTGCAGATGATCAGTGAACTTGTTGACTATTTTAAGGATCATGGCCCGAAAGAGACGTTGCCACGCCATTTAAAAACAAAAAAAGGACACGCTTGTTCTATCCTGATTTTAATTTAAATAGCTTTATGAAGGCTTGAACAGTTGTATCATATTCCTCGTGGACAACAAAGGGATGCACCGTGTTAACACGTAGCCTATTTTCGGTTTCATTAGATGGACACACCCAAAATTCTGAGTTATTATTTGGATATTTGTCAGCTTTTAGGCTAACTGGTACCCCTTCATTTTTTTGACGTCAAGGAATTAAAGGATTATACATTGAAGGAAAGTCATCACTTAAGTTAGTATTAATTACTTGACTGCTCAAATTATACTATTTGCACTTTTTAAGAAATTTTTTAACCACAACGTCCGGTAACTTTTCAACTGCTTTGGTGTAGCCTTTTCCTGTAGGAAAGGATAGCCGGAAGTTTCTTGGGGTAGACATTTGTATCATAGCAAGAGATTAAGTCGAAAAAGCGGAGAATGAACACCGTTTTTCACCTAAGAATTAAACTGCTAATTACTTTGAGCAAAATGAGTTTAGACAACTGAAAAGCAAAAGACCTTGATGTTTTTTAATCAGAATAGTTTTTTACTTCACATCCTCTGACTTGCATGACTGTCATTAATCAAATGAATTAATTGGATTAAGGGAAAACCTATTACGCAGGCGCAAGGTCTCGTGTCTATTTGAAGAGGGTGAAAAGTGCCTGACGCCGTCCACCCATCTAAATGCTCCAACATGGAATTTATGAAGAGGGTCGCATGCCAACGATCCCTTAGTACAAGCACTTTTTCCATCAAAAATATTCTTAATCTCGAAGATGAAAGTAACATGATCGAGCCTCTGCCTCCACTCCAGCCAGCAAACGATTGTGAAGCTGCAGCACTCTACTCGATACCAAGTTCCGTTGTCGCTACTCATGTACCATACAATCCGTCACCATTTTTAAACCCTTGTTCGAGTTTCGGTCTGCAACAGTACACACTTCCTTCAACATGGATGAACAGTGGTACAGAGATGGGAAATCCGCGCTGGACAACCAGTGCAGGTCTTATGATGACTCAATTCCCCTCCGGTAAGTGCTTTAGTTCACTTGTGTTGAAAACGATTCACACTTTTTTAAGACCCGCCATTCCCGGCCTTCCTAATCGTGTTAAGTGTATGTTTAACCTTATTGCATGATAGGTTGACCACCTTTAATCATACTCTTCCTACTTTATTTTTGTCCATCGAAGAGTAGGCGATCAGACTTGGATTTTCAGAAGTCAGGTGCAGGGACTAGATTTTATAGAATTTGCAGATCTCTTCTCCGTACGTGTGAAATGCATTTCATAGTCTGTAACATATATACGTACTCGCACTAAAAATATCAATCTTGCTGGATGTGGAATATATATAGAATATAACACTTTATGTCCCTTTTACTTCCATTATAAATTCTAGTACATGGGCAGAAGTACACGATGACACTTTTTCCGCCATTAAGGCCTTTTTTGTTGATGTGTCAATAGCTATAGAAATAACACCTTTATTTTAAAACACAGGACGAAAAGAGAAAGAATTAAATCATGTTGTCCGGCATTTGCACGTTAAATGAGTGTGTTAATTGTACCTTTGGTAGCTGATTAAAATAATTAAATTTGGGACCGGGTGTTTCTCTGCCTAAGTTGCGATCCGTGCTGAAGCTGTGTACTTAAAAATATATGAAAGTGCGAGCTTTACCGGCAACTGCCCTAACTTAATTAAACGTTGGTGAGGTGAAAGGTACTTGTTTTGATGTGAGCAGTTACTGTGTGGATAAGAAACATCGTGAACAGTTTGACCAAACCTTGAGCTTCCAAATTATGCTCCTTTAATTTCCCTTGCGGTAAATGGAAATTAAATAGGGCTTCTCTTTTGGTATAATTAAGAGGAAAACAAAAAAATCGCTTCTGACAGTCCATTACTTAAAATCAAATGCCTCATCTGGTTGTTCAATTTCTTGCCCTCTTTCGCAGGTAACCTTCTACACTGCACATATCTTCACTGTAGGAAGCGAAGAAAACTGTCGACAAAGAAGAAAAAGAGGCCATTGTTTTCACAACACCAAGTGGAAACCATGGAGAAACAGTTCACGAAGCATCGATACATCACTGAAGACAAGCGAGCGGAACTGTCCGCAGAATTGAGCCTAACAGAAACGCAAGTGAAGACATGGTTCCAGAACAGACGAACTAAGTGGAGAAAAGAACTCAGAGACAAAGTAGAGACGACTGTTTCCCAAACAAGAAAGAAACTTCGGGGAACTATGTCCGCATCAGGAACATATCCAGGGTTTGAACTGCCTTTGGGAACTGCTAGTTTGCCGCGAAGAGAAGTAAAATTATCGACTAGTTAGTGTTGACCTTCTCTTGTACTTACCTTGTTTTGCATTTGTATCTCTTGTTTTACTGTGTCAGACAGAAAACAGAGATTGATTGCTGATCATGAACTACCAACCTGTAAGCACAATCAGGACTTTCTTCGTGGCCGTGAAAGGCCTTCTTTTGACCGGTTACTGACGATTACTAAATCAAAGTTTTTAAACGATTGTGTTGCAAAGTTGTGCATTGCCGGTTTAAACGCTACCGTGTTCATAATGGCTACGATTGCTAAAATGTTAGTAATATTGATTTGAACTAGCTGCATTTTCTTCAACTGAGACTGTAGTGCTTCTTACGTGAAATCTAGCGGAAAACGTAGGAAGTATATTCATTCCTTCTTTTGAAATTATATATCGTTGAATTTTTAAAGTTTCATACACTTGTGTAATTTGTAATCTTACTAAGTCGTGGCAATTAGGGCAGTAGTTTTCTTACAAAGCTTGAGCTGTAATCTAAAGCCTCTTAACTCCTTAAGAAACCGAACTAAGCATTACAACTCTAGGCTAGTCAAATGGAGAATTTCTTAAGCCGAATTTTGTGGATGACTCAACAGACGTAAGAATCTGACTCGAAGATACGTTTTCCATGATTCGGTCGAGAATTTCCAGGTGACCGACGTATTTAGCCTGCAATATCCTGTTTACATTAGCATAGTCCATATTTACCTATTTTGTACTTTTTTTTAAAGTTACCATTAAACATATATTTTTATAATGAATATGATATTTTTTAGCTGAGAATGTAATTTTCCTTTTTTCCTTTTTTACGGTTTTAACCGCACATATCAATGAAGCCATTGTACCCTGTATAAATACATGAGTAACTGCGCAAAAGTCTTCTGTTTGCGTAAAAGAAAGAGAGGATAGACAGAAAAGGTAACTGACAAAATAAGACATAAATACCGCTAGTAAGTGAGGTCTACATGACACAGCTGCACAATACACTAAACTGAGGAATAAGAGCAGTTCATTTACTAAGTTAAGTTCGTAACGCACTGAGCAGTTTGAATACGTATTGGTACTGAGTCGTGCAGCTAGAAAGACGCCCGTGTACAGGTACTCTTGAAATAGCTAAAGAATTGTATTGTAAACCGAGCATCAAGAAAAAAAAAACTTGACGGCTTCAAATTAACATGCAATCTACTCCCTGTATTACAATTAGCTTTTGTTTGTGAAAACTGTGGCTTTAGCTGGTTTCTTTTGCTGTTTTTCATACGAAAACAGTCAGTTGTCGCCGTGTGAAATCAGTGTAGATTTTTGACGGTGGTAAAGAGACACCTAGTCCTGTTTGAAGGATAATTGTCGGCGAATTGACTAGTAGACTGAAGAGAACGTTGAGTGTTTATTCAGGACTGCAAAGCGATGGGAGGAAGAAGGTTGTTTGACTCAAACTTAACGGCATGCCTGTACTTTGTATTTTCATACAAGGCCCTGGGCTTTGAGGTTAAAAAGGCAACGAAATAGCATGGATTGCGATCACTTTCTCTTAACACTACAAGCTATTTTAACATTTTTCATTCGAAGTTCTACACGTTCAAAAGAGTTGAGAAAACTCTAGAATTTTCCTGGTAACTTTCCATAAGCAGTGCTTACATGAAGAGTTCGAGCAAATGTTTTCGGGGCAAGGGGGAAGTCGCTTAAAATTTTTAAAAATACTCTCAGTAACTGTATTTATGTATTTGATTTTCTGTCTCTAACAGTTTTGCGGTTATGCATTTTGTTAAAGGCAAACCACTTGATAGTTACGGCTAATCTCGCATTTATTCAGTTTACGATATATATTTTTTCTTGACACGACACCAGAACAACTAACTGAAGCTAAATTCACGGTAAATTAAATACCTTAAAGAGATTTACTGTAAACAAGTAATAACTGGGGTAGTCTCATGGTTGCCTGTAGAACAACGCAACTGAAATGTTCCGTCTTATCTGATGTCCTTGGCGATCTCCATATGATTTAAAGGTTTCTCTAGCTTAGACAAATACAGTATCAAGTTTTGGTGTGTCGAGTTTCAAAGTAAAATTCTGCTTGGAAGCTTTCCAAAGTGCTGCTATCAGAAAATCATGACTGCTGTGTCGTCGCAGTGTGACGAAATGTTTCTTGTCGTCCCTGGATGCCGACTGATATAGATGTTTTTCGCCTGAACTGTTCACCTTGGTCACCTTGTTTATGGACTGCAGCACTAGTTGTTCATTCCTCAAAAGGCCTTCATGTTATGCTTAAACGCCTTAAAAGGAAGGAATAAGAATGCAATAGCCAGTTTGTTTCGCAAGTATATTGTAGAGATAGAAGTTCTCCACCAGTCATTGTTTTTGCATTTTCCCTGTTAAAAACCCTTCTGTTCTATTGTGGTGTTTTTTGCTCCTTTGGTGGTGGTGACCAACGTAGGCTCAGTACCCTGCGAAAAGAGACCCTTTGATCTTGTTCAGTTTCAGATTAATGATCTGGCGGGAAAATCGAGGGGCCTCTGCTCACAGGGTAGCTAGGTTGGGGTGTTTTGTTTTGTTGGATAGCACGGAGACTACTGGACTCTTTGTTGTAGGTAACACTGAGCTCTTTCATTTTGGGACACCTAAAGGATAAGTACAGAAAAACTCAGTAAACCCCACTGAATTTGTTCCAAGATTCCCCAAGACAAAGGCAGCAATCATGCAAATTCGTCCTTATCTTAAAGGTAATTAAGGTACCGGAAATATCTGCGTCCCTTGTAAAATGTTTGCAAGTTGTTGGCCGACATGGCGCCCTTGTGAAACGTAGATTAGCTGCTGATTGTTATCATCCATAGCATTTGGTGAAAAGTGTCAGGAAGAATTAAAGTATTTAACAGTCAGAACTCGTGACAATTATCTCCATTCCACACGTGCAGATCGTCTAATATACCGCCGACCTACCGCGCGCTAAGCGTTTTTTTATCGTACCTACAGCACTGTTAAATAGACTACATGAGCTTCTTTTTTCCCTTGACGACTGGGCCCTTTCTCCGTTTCCCAATCGCCTCATGTACTAGTCAATGTAAACATCCCCCGGAAGGCGGGACATATCGGAGAATGTGCGAGGAATTTTTCACCGGTGAAACCGGGCTACAGTTATTGGGGACTTTTACGAATTGTACTTGCCGGTGGAGTAGACCCCCGGAGTGGATCAGGATATTTTTTACCGAGGTGGGCAGGGTAAAGAATCACAATTGAGCAGCAAGGAGTACTGTATTAAGGCCCGGGGGGAGGGGGGCACTGTAGGAATTTCTGGGTGGGGATGTGCCGCTGGGAGCCTGGAACCCTTAACCTTCACCAGAGCTAGTTCAGCTGAATTTTGCTACCCTATACTAGAGTAAACTCCCCAAATCCCCCTATCCTAGAGTAGCTGTGTACCTAGTCTAGATAAAATCTTCAACCAACTGATCAGTTTCCTGAGAAATGATACCCTATTCTAGAGCCAAACGCTCTGATTTATATACCCTATCCTAGAGTAAACTGCTTGAAAACCATACCCTTCACAGCGGCACATACCTATATAGGCCATATATGGCAGTACCCCCCCTCCCCCGGGATTAAGGCATACATCTTATGGCATACCGTATTTATTCGGTTAATCTCCCTGGGCGCTTTTTAAATTTTTGAACCTTGAGAGTGGGCGCTTATTCGAGGCTGGGCGCTTATTCGAATAAATACGGTAAATCTTTAAGGTCGCTGTGAATCAAGGTTATTTTTAACGTAACAAGTTAAATAAACAGAACTTGGACAACAACAAAAAAAATTGTTAAGAAAATAGCCTGCTTTAGGTCGGTAAATTGCGCAATAAAAGATAAACCGGGCGGGGAAGGATCTAACGGCGAGGGAGAACACAGACTACCATAAAAAAAAAAGTATATAGAGGAGATGACAAAATCAATATAATAATACATATAAACCGTTCCGGTTTGAAACGAGAACCTTCTTTTTAAAAACAGAATACAGTATATACGTTAGGATCTTCACACTATATAAAAACATAAAGCAGATAAATACAATTGGTACATGAGCAAAAAATGGAAGCAGACGCAAAAATCAGTGACTGGGGGTTTAATTAAAAAAAACGATCTGAGAATATAAAGAGATGATCAAACATATATATTATTATTATTAGTATATATTATGCACCTTAAGAAAAAATGGGGCCAGCAACAGGAGGTTCAGTCAGGGGCCCAGTGTAAGAAGGGGGGGCGGGGGGCGGAGTTGCCTGCATATAGGATATCAGCAAGAGCCATAATGGCTCTTGATATAAGTTAGGTACCTTTTCTTTAAATCCTGCCTCACTAACCCTCCTCCCCCACTCCCTCCCAAAAAATTAATAACAAAAACAAAAACAAAATCGTGAATTTCAAAACTTATAAGTCCGGATTTGGATTTGGTTTTCATGATCCGTTTTTCCATTTGGAAAACACAAAAAGACCTTTGCTTTGATTTCAGAAACCTGAATTTTTTTTTCCCCAAAACGCATCTAAAGATTTCTTTCTTGAAATTGGCTGAATATCTAAGGCCTAGGCCAAAGTCGAACTTTTCTTGAGACGAACCAAAGTTAATGAGTTAAGTTAATGAAAAGTTCGACTTCTGACACGTCTGGCTTGGTTAAGTTCTTGTGAGTGAGTTTGAATCGTCCACGTCGCTCTGCACATGCGACCAACTAAACTAATAAATTAAAATTTGTATTGCATTGCAGACACACGATGGTGTTCGCAACCTACTTACCTCACTTACTTGCAAGGTTTGCACCGACGTTGAAGTCGAGCCACAACTACAACCCCTCGATAATGAGCGATTCACCCTCAGAAGCGCGGTAACAAGCCCGGAGGCAAGACTAGACTTCAAGGCAGGGGACTTTTGGTCTCGTGGAGTTACAGCATTTTTTGATGTCAGAGTAACGCGTGTTAACTCCAAGTGTAACCAGCAGGAGGAGTTAAAAAAGCGGAAGTACCAACAGAGGGTACTCTACGTTGAAATAGGATCTTTCACTCCCCTAGTTTTTGGAACCAACGGTGCTTTTTGGTCTGACTCGGTTGATTGGTTCGACGCGTCCGAAGTTCAACGTCTGACCTAACAGACGATCTTAACGTAATTTAGGTCGACCCCCGGGGGTCGACCCAACTTAGAGTTTGGTTCGATTCACGAAATTTCGACGTATGGCCTAGGCCTAAGGCAATCAATATTGGACGGAGTTTGGGAAGATTATCGCCCGAGCTATTCTTCTATAAGAGATACGTTCTTTACTAAAATAGAACCTACTAGCATTCTATTTCAACGACTGTTAACAAAAGAAACTTTATTATCCCATCTAATGAACTCAACTGACTAATTTATAAGCACTCAATTAACTTCATTTTTTTCCTCATGCTACGAATTGAGATCATTGAGAGATAAACTTCTCTCCGTAATAATTATACTTACTTTACTAGGATATCTAAAAGATAGTAATGCTGCGGCACATTCTGTTGATACTGGCATTAGTTAGGCAGTGGGACTTAGAAGAATCGAAAATGACATTGAATTTCCTATTTACATGTTGGAAAGTACTAGAATAATTACTTCAGTCTATATAAAGAACTTCGTAGGAACGTTGTTTAAAAAATGATCAAGTGGTTATCAACTCTGGTTTTCCCACAGTAAATTGTAGGAAATGATAGAAATTCAGATTGTTTATCCATATATTTAATATAGGGTGTACTATCTTTTCTCTGGAAACATGATACTTTTCTTGCTATTTATTGCACTTTATTAAGTAACAGTTATTTAGCTATATATTTATAGAAAACAACAACACAAAAAAAAACAGAAAAAAAAAGAAAGAAGGAAAAAAAGAGTTCAGTAGGACTCGAACCCGGCACCATCGACTCGACGCGACTACACCTCACCACTACACCACGGAGATTTCCGCTGTTATTTTGAAGCGAATGGTCAAAATCACATCCATTTTCGGCTCATACAGGTTCTTAAGAATAGCATGGCATGACATTTTCTCACTTTCACATCACCTCCTAGCAAGCTGGAATTTGTATATCCCCCGTGTTGCGGAGTCGAAGAGCAAATACTCATCTTCTCGTCAGGTTTAACACCTGGACGAGTCAAAGGCTCTTGAATTGAAATCCAATCCCCAAGTTAACCATTGTACTCATCTGAAAGACTCCTGTGTGTCTTAAATTTGGTAAGACCTCTAACCGTGCTGTAGAAAATTTGCAACAAAGAAAACTCTGAGTCTGGGCAGCGAACGATGCGAACTTCCCCGTGTTTTTATTTGACTTGTTCGTGGCGCAATGCACTCTGGTTAAATGCAATGTATTGTGGTAAAAAGTGTGGTTAAATGCAATGCATTGTGGTAAAAAGTGATGAATTCGAGAATTCGTCGCCCCTTATATATTTCCCCTAAATCCTGATTATGTTGCTGCTCGCTCCCTACGGTCGCTCCCCAGCAATGAAAAGCTTAAAACAAGCAAGAAGTTACTTTAATTCATTTTATTCTATTTAAATCATCTTAGAATTTATAATCAATAATTAGTTATGAAAGGCTTTTGCATTACTGTATTTGTTAAAGTCGGGCAAATAAAGCTTGTTGCTGTTGCAGACTAACCTGTCATTCAAAACCATTAATGGACCATTTTAATTTTAGTCATTAAAATGGGCTTTCTTCCAAATCTCTGGGAGATAAATCACAACATGCCGCGAGTTTTTGGATGTTATCAACAATCTTGTTTTCGTATGCACTTGTATGGTCATGTAAATAAAGCTTGTTGTTGTTGCTTCACCTTTTCTTGCGACTTAATGTGGGTCAGTTTTAGTAGCCAAGTTCCTCACAGCCTCTGATGAGCCGTGATGAGTTGTTTCAGACACTGTCAAATACAACTAGCTATCTATAAGCTATATTGAAATGTGCGGATTATTTAACCCTACATTTTCATTAAAAACCATGCAGTGGGTTATCAGAACTGCAAAATCCGTTGAATATAAATTGATGATGTACTAAATTTCAGATTTGTACCTGAAAGGTGGTCGGCAGTTGTATAACAAAACTTTAAATGTTAAACTCCCTTTACATATTTTAGCGTAGTACGGCAGAGGTAAGGGTGACCTCTGTTCAAGACGAAGACGATGGCTTAAGATTATAATTGTCCAAGTCAATAAATAATTGGTCAGCGGATCCTTGACATGGTGTGGACTGTGTACTCGTCGTGGAAGCCGGGTTAGGGTTAGGGTTATCCGCCGTCTCCATGTCTTCTCTCAAGCGTCTCTTGCTGTCCATCAGGACGGTTTCTAGTTTGTCCTTAGCTTCTTTTCTCCACTTTGTTCTTCTGTTTTGGAACCACGTTTTGACTTGCCTTTCTGTGAGGCTAAGATTGGTGGCTAACTCAGCCCTTTTTTCTTCGGACACGTAACGATTCCTGGCAAATTCCAGTTCCAGAGTGTGCACTTGTATTTGGGAAAACAGGGGTCTTTGCTTTTTTTTACGTTGACTGCGTCTTCTTTGGAGATAAGGCGTTGCACCTTGAAAAAAAAAGATAAAATAAAGCACTAAGTGTAACATCACTACCATAAACTACTGCATAGACGACGACGACTACTACTACTACTACTACTACTACTACTACTACTACTACTACTACTACTACTACTACTACTACTACTACTACTACTAAAGCACTACTTGACTATTAGTATAGTATCTCGTAAAATAATAATGATAATAATAATAATAATAATAATAATAATAATGATGATGATGATGATGATGATAATGCACAAGCGTTCTGGGATGTCCCTCTATTTGCGGAGCACCAAGAAGTTGATGCTCGCATTATCAACCACGAATCAAAGCGAGTCATAAGGCTTGACATGAGCTGCCGATGGGTTACAAAGCGGGAGAAAAATGAGGAGGAGAAACCACGAAATACGGACCGCTCCGTTGGGAGTTAAAGCAGAAGTACCAAGGATATGAAGTAAAACATTATAATATTATAATTGACTTGTTAGGGGGATGGTGCCGAGACTGCTAGCTGCAAAGGAAGTAAGAGTAAGGGAGCTCTTCATAACATGCAGAAGGCTCTACGTGTATACCCTCGGAAACACTAAACATCTCTAGAACCAAGAGCCATGAGGTTGCAACATGAACAATGAAGATCGCTTTCGAAATTATTAACTCTCTTCCTTCAACGTCTTTTGGACTTTTAAAGTTATGAAGTAATCGTCAATTAATTTTTTACCGCTAAATAAGCAATATATTTAAGAGAACTTTTAAGACTTAGTTTATAATCATCCCTTTAGATTCTAGATATCTTAAATAGTTTTATTTTTCATTCAAAATATTTCCCCGATTCTGATTGGCTAAAAGCACACGTTTAATTCACCATAACCAGTTACTGACGACCAAATTTGGAAGAATTTTGACTTTAACGAGGAAATGACGTCAAAAATGCAGCGTTTTCGCAGGTTAAGGCACCGTTAACCGAGAAGACCTGGGGACGAAGTTGAGTTGTTTTGGTTGTGAACTTGAATAAATGGCGACATTTCACTCGTTTCAAGAGAAAGAACTAGGCGAAAAAATGGCTAAAAACATGGCAAGAACAGCAAGAAGACAACTCGAGGGGGACTGGGACTGGTGACATGGGAGAGTAAACGTGCTTCGCCGAGCTCCCTGAATCGCCGTGGAAAATTTATAGTTTTTTAATGCTGGGCAAACGCAAAAACCGGTCAAAAGCTTCCAAAGATTCTTTGCCATCTCCAGATGAAAAAAAATCGAAAGACGAGGGAAAGGCACACTCAACTGCATCAGAGACTGACGAAGTGTTCGAAGCTTTAGAAATGGCGGAAGGTGTAGGCTCGAAGCTTGAAGCTGTACTTAAGAAGTTAGAAAAGCTTGATACTATTGAAAGCCGCCTGAGTCAGATGCACACAACACTGGCAAGTATTGAAGAAAATGTAAGCAGGCTGGATTCGGAAGTGGATGATCTCAAAACAAAGTCCAAACAGCTTGGCTCAACAGTCAATGAATTGAAAGAAAGCATCCAATTTAATGAGGAGGACATATCCGACTTAAAACTTGAAAACCAAAAGTTACAACAGGATGTCTGCGAGCTCCAGAAACAACTTCTTTACATGGAGACTTACTCAAGGAGGGAAAATGTAAAATTTGTGGGGCTGCTAGAAGAGCAAGTTGACAACATGAATGGTGGTGACGAAGATCACAATGGCGCGCAAGCCAAAATAGAAGATACAAGAGAGATTATCTATAAATTTCTCGAACATCAACTAAAGATTCCAAATGCGCGACAAAAAATTGAATTCCAAAGGC